TAATGGGAAGGAAAGGCTCCTATTTATAAAAATTGAAAGCCTGCAAATTTGCACAAAGTGGTAAAATCCAGTGAAAAGAGAGAGGAAAAAGATGTTCAGCATGAAAATCGAGAGAGAAAAATCTCTTTCGCTAGCGATAGCTTTGTGCCATGCGATGTGATGGCAGTGCGCTGCCCGAGGTGGCAGTGGCCCGCACGGCTTACAGCAGGCATACAGCCTTCCCAGTGGCACTCCCAGGGCTTAAGCGCACTGGGCACCACGCTTGTAGGCCTACTGCACGCAGGCCCTATGCACATAGGGGCCTATCAGTGTAAGCCTGCTACGCAGACGGGCGCGGGCACAGTGTGGGGTGCCTGTTCGTGCGCAAGGTGACGCGCGGACGACCCGCCTCTGTGTGTCAAGCACACGCAAGGTTGACCCCGTACTATGTGTGTGGATGGGATGTGCACGCTGTGCGCACATCCCGCACCTGTTGTGCGCGTGTGCACACGCACACTGTATTGGCGCTCACGCGGACAGCTCCCCTTTCTTGCAGGATTTCGCTTGTTTTGCCCTTTTTTCAAAATTTATTTTTAATTGTACTGAAATAAAAATAAAAATAAAATTAATACAATTAAAATAAACTTAAATAGAATTAATTAAAAATAAAAATTAAAATAATTGAAAATAGATATAATTCACGAATTATGATAATAATTTGTAGAGTTAATTAAATGAGTTTAATACATTTTAAAGACCTGAATAAATAGAGTTTTTCCAACTCAATTAAGCACAGAGATGGGCAGGGTGTTGCAGCTATCATCTACAAATTTAAATATCATAAAATTATTGTACTTTGAGATTTAGAGACTCCTTTATAATCATTTCTTCTCAATACATAGCGCCTTAAATTAATGATCTTGTTCTACATCATTATGCACCTCTCACAATGACTGGAATATTTGTCTTGCTAGATCTATAACCATAATCTGATATGGATTTTAATTTCTACGTGACGTACTATAAACTTTTCTAATGCTTGAACCATTATATTGTATTCAAAATATGTCCTTAATTTTCATTATTACTAGGAGGATAGTCAATATTAAAGTACGTGGTTGTAATTTTAAATTAATTCGAAACAACACTAAAAACACATGGTCATGAATGGGAAACCTTGGAGATAATATTAATAGAATTTAAATAAATTTAGGATATTTATTTATATATATAATGAATTGTTAGGAGGATTTGATTAATTAATTAGCATCTTGTGAGCAAAGAATTATGATTAAGAGATGGTCGGTTAGTTAATTAATAGAGTGAGTGAGTGAGTTTGGTACAAGTTGATGAGATTGAAGTATACCAGAAAATGAGTCATTTCACATGTGCCGGTAGGACATGACTAATCAACTATTAAATTTAAAATCTCTTTCCTTTCTTAGCAAAGGGCCACAAACCATATGATAATTATTCTATTTAATTAATTATTTTAATAATTAATATACTAGATAAATATTATATGCATACATTTCATATCAACATTATATAGATATATATAGGGTCTTTCTTGTCATTCAACTTGTAATTAATCAGTCTTTTTCTCATAATATCTTCTTTTTAAAATATAATTAATTAATGTAATATCTCAGAACAATATATTTGCAGTTAACAGATTTAGAATTCTAATTTTAGAGTTCAATTCCGTTGAGTAATAAAATAATTCAAATTTTATGAACCGGTTTGAAAATCTAAATAAATCTTAAATATGTGAAGTGAATCATATTATGTAACTGATTAGAATTAAAATATAATAAACAACTAAATAATTATTTTTATCTAATTATAAGATATTATATTTTCACAAATTATTATAAAAATATAATTTTTTAAGTTGTATACTACTTTAATATTTACTTAATTTCTGCATTTTTCTTTGAAAATTATATATGATAAAAAATAATTTGGTTCTCCACGTAATTTTCAATTGAAAATTCAAATTTCAATTTGATTATAATTGTGTTAAAAAGGCTCTTGACAATATTATCTTTTAAGTTGGGGATATAGATAAGCACACGTACACTCACTAACTCTGATGGTAACATCACGTACACAGTACAGATTAAGCAGAGCCGATCGACTATAGAGATATATATATCATTGTGGTCCATGCTAGACTTAGTGCAGAATATTAATCAGAGTGAAGACGTTATCTGAAAAACTAGTAGCTTACATAGATATATATGTATATACATAATTAAGTATACATAAACTGTTGGTCTTTTATTTGGTCAAAATACATTTGGACAAAGCACAGGAATCTTAAGATTCTTATCAAATCCAGATTCTGTGTGTGTGTCTCTGTGTGCTTTTATGATCGTGAATCAGGATCTTCTCTAATAATTGAATTTTAGAGTTCTATTAAATTTTTATGATCAAATCATGTGTGTATATATATAATGTTACAATATCATGGAAATATAAATTTTACATATTAATACCTTCTGTGATTTTTTCGTTCTCTTGGGAACTGGGTTTGAATTCATAAATTATCTACTTTATGAACTAATGCTTATGTCTAATACAATAGTTCTGTAGATATAAAGATTTATAAATGTCATTAAGCAGTTATTAAATTAATTATTCGAAAACTATACGTGCAAGAGGTTAAAAACATGGATTAAGTACATACTCACTAAATGTTTTGTGCATAATTATTTTTAATAGAAATAGAACACACCAAAATTTTGATTAAACTTGTAATTAAACTAAAAATTTAAGTTCATAAAAATAATTTAATTAATTATTTATATTGTAAGAGATGGTTTCTATATATGTAAACATATTGTTGATTTGGTTTGATTATGAAAATATTTTAGTTTTTGTAATATTTCATATTTATACTGAAAAATTTATATTTATCATGAAAGAATATTTTGTATTTATTTTAAAAGTTATTTTATGTATATTTTGAAGAATTTTATTAGAAAATTCTTATAATTTTTTTTTATATATAAAATTATTAATTTATTGGTGATATACTTTTAAATTATTATAATAATTTTTTTAATTATATCTATAAATATAGATATATTTATTTAATTATATTAAATCTTGCGTGTATTTTATTTTATTTTTATTTTGTAATAATTGTATACTAATTTTTTCAACACATATATAATAAATGAAAAAATATACAAAAGCATTGGGAATTGTTGTTGTGGAGTGTAAATAGTTAGCAGAAAAGGGCAGGGAAAAGGAGTAGGAAGAAGGGAGGGTGATTGTGTTAGGGGAAAAGGAGCACTTAAGTGAGTGTTTACAGCAGTCACTTTGGGTGACTTGGATTGGTTCCTTGTTTTCGATTGATCATTTTGAGCCCACTAACTCATTTTTATAAGAGTGCCCTGCATCGAATCTGCACATATTCTTATATATATATATATATATATATATTATATCTTATATATATAATACTCCTGCAGTGTTTTTATATAATATAATTATTAAAAAAGAATTAAACAAAACCCAAAAAGATAAGCCACAAAAGGTGATGTTTAACTTGGAGAAAACGTAAGCAAAGAACTACATCTATTACCCTTATGTGAATATATATATGTATATGTATTAATTGTGGGTCATGTCCTTAAAAACAAGAAAGTTCAGTTCAAGTACTACTCTAAATATTAAAGTAACGGTAGATAAAATTATATTAATACATATATAGATGTGGATCTGATCAACCAAAAAAAAGAAAAACAAAATAATTGATTGCCAAGTTTGGGGAGATGCATATAGATATATATATAATGTTACCCAAATTATTGTTATTGGTACATGGACACAATCCAAGCCTTATAACAAGTAACTGGGTCCATCCCCTTAACATGGTCCACGACCAAACCCATTTTCATGTTTGCCACGTGGATGACAGCAGGTGCATGATATAAGCATGAAGTGTGTGTGATGATCATCACTCCATATACATATATATTATTCTAATTTAGATATAGAAAGCATTTTTCATTTTTTTTAGAAGTATGAATTAGGATGAAAATCAAAACTGTTTTTATATAATATATTCAATCCAATACCTAATTAGTTTGAAAAATTCTAATACAAACTAACAACGAAAATCTCAAAACATTAATACAAAGCTATGCAAAAATTACATAAAATTTTTCATTTTAAATTGTTGGTTGTCGTGCTGAAATTGTAACCTGTAAAAATCATCTCTTTTTTATTTATTTAATTGATAAAAAATAAATTTATAGATTTAAAAAATCATATAAATAAGAAATAAATTATTAAAAAATAAAAAATAAAATATAAAAACATTTTTTTTGAGTTCTATTACTGAATTGAACTTTAGTTACAAGAATTTTATTTTTAAAAAAAAACATAAACTACAAAAATTTTAAACTACAAAAATTTTTGTTTATTATTAATTTACAAACTCTTAAAAAAGTCAAAATATATTATCTAAAAAAAATAATTATCTTATTATTTATTATTAAGACTCCATGTTGGAATCAAACCCTCAAATTCCTTTTTAAAAAAGAATTTTTATTCATCAAATCTTTCATAAATTGCATTGAATTGAAGATTGAATAAAAAAAGGTTATTATGATTTTGAACAAACCAGTAAAATTGATAGACACGCTGCTCTTTTTTTTAGGGAATATATACTATATTTTTATATTCATTTCAGTAACGTGCCGCTGCATTGTTTACTTGAATATCTATAAATCGTATATATATATAATAACAAGTATAATATTACAATACATACAGAAAGAACAGATATATATACATACATAATAAGAAGCATAGATATATATAGAGAGGCGCTCCTTCGTTTATCCGCCGCCTTCGAGAAGGAGAGAGCAGCTTGGGTTGTTGTTAGTGATGAAAGCACCTTCTTTTTCACGTCACTCTCTTTCTCTTTCTTCCACTCTTTACCCTATAAATAACACCCCACCAAAAAACCTTCCTTATCACTATTCGTCTTCTTCTTCTTCCTCTATCTCATTCTTTTCCTGATATCAACCTTTAGAACCACCTTTCTACGCTGTAAATATCATTCGGCTCTTGACATATACATATATATATATATTCATCTAGATATACAGGGGGAGATCGATGGGCGATGGCAATGTGAACCTGCCGCCAGGATTCCGGTTTTATCCAACGGATGAAGAACTTGTAGTTCATTTCCTTCACCGTAAGGCCTCACTCTTGCCTTGCCACCCAGATGTCATTCCTGATCTTGATCTCTATCCCTACGATCCATGGGAGCTTGATGGTATACCATTATAATTTTATATATTTATACAATACCTCTTTTCTTTTCTTTCCTTTCCTCATATATTCTTCTCTCAATATATTCTTCAGTAGAAATGTATACGTTAATTTATTAGTTAATAGAACAATTATAACATGACAAAAACAACATTTAAACGAGAAAACATGGTCCAGCTTAAACCTGAGAACTTATAGAGTAAATAAATTAGCAATTATTCAAATAAGATATATATATACATATATATATCTTCTGTATTTTTTAAAAAAAAATTATTTTTTCTTTGTTGGTTGTTGTAGAAAAAGAATAAATTAAGGTTTTAGATGAGAGTAGGCGGTCGGATAATGAAAATGAAACCATTGATTGGGCAGGTAAAGCTCTGGCGGAAGGTAATAGATGGTACTTCTACAGCCGGAGAACACAGAACAGGAATACAAGCAACGGTCACTGGAAATCAATGGGCATCGACGAACCAGTCATCACAAGCTCCGGCAAGAGAGTTGGTATGAAAAAATATTTCGTGTTTTACGTTGGGGAAGCTCCCGCTGGAATCAAAACAAACTGGATCATGCATGAGTATCGACTTCCTGATTCTGCTTCTTCTAGTAGATCTACTAAACGATCAGCCCGTGCCAAAACACTAGTATATAATCTCTCTCTCTCTATATATATATATATGTATATATATATACAGCACAAGCATGCCCATTAACATATTGTCTTGTTGATGCATGTATTTACAGGATTACAGTAAATGGGTGGTGTGTAGAGTTTATGAGGACGATGATGGAACGGAGCTTTCGTGTTTGGATGAAGTATTCTTATCTTTGGATGATCTTGATGAAATAAGCTTACCAAATTGACCTTCACACACTTCAATTTGGGTGAGTCTTTTAGTGTATATATATATATATATACACACACAACGTGGAAGTGGTACTCCAGTAACATGATCATCAGACTCCGTAGCACTCCAAATTGTAGAATCATGAGACATCAATATTAGTGTTGCACTATATGTATCCGTAACTTGTAATTTTGGAATTAACCAAGCAAAAAATTGAAACATTTTAGCCAAAACTAAGACATGATTGTTGCTACCCAAAAGCAGTACAATATATTTCTAAATGGGTACTGTTTTCTCTTTTTTGTTCATTGAAATTAATACTATATTAGCTCATTCATTCATAATAGTTCTTAAGTAGAGTTATCTCCAGTTGCAGGAGATATAGTGCCAGGAGTAGGGGATTTAAAAAAGGTGGTAAGGCAGGTTATGACAAGTGTGAGAGTGGGCCAAAGAATATAGAAAAATCAAAGCCACAAAGAGGGTGAAAATTGATCAGATGAATCAAAATAGATTGAGAAACAGAGTCTGCATACGTGTATATATATACATTATATATATAGATATGAAGAGATGGATTAGTGTGAGAATTGGATGAGTGGAGTGAGTGGAGGGAGGTAGTGAAGGAGATTGTCACGTGCAGGAAGGAGGTGGAGCCCAGAGAGCACTGTGAGGGCGCTTGAGCATTTCCTTCTCCATAGCCTTTTTAGCTTTTTCTGCTTTTATGGTATTTGGTAGTTGTCTTGTATCACAAACCCAAGGAACCCATCTTTATTTTTATCTTTTTTCTTGTTTTTTTCTTTTAATGGGTGCCTGCTGTGCAAAGCATTGAGTCATCTATGATGCAAGCCCTCCCACGCCCCACATGTGCCATTATATATATATATATATATATATGAACAAACCCAACAAAAATCTCATTAGAATTAGAACTTAAATAGTACATTTAATTAAATTAATCTACACTGTAATTGCCAAAAATCTTTCTAAGTTGTAAAATTTTAATTTTTAATTTTGGGTAAAAATCAGTCCATATATTGTAATGTAATTCCACCCGTAGTGGAATTAGTGATGACGCTTTTTACCTTTCAGATTTCATAATTTTTTTGAAGTCATTTACTTTATGATCACTCTCGTTATAACAATTTGATGATTTTAGCAGAGTCATTTGAAATGACATGCATATTTTTTTATTTTGGTTATTTAATTTCTATTTATATTTGATTAAGTTTAGTTTCTCTTCTTGTGTTCTTACCATGATTATCCTTATATCTTAATTTTTTCATTTTCCATTATATTAGTTATTTACATCAATCTCAACCTAGAATAATAAGAATTCGTTCTTTTAGGATTGTGGGATATAGCGTACAATTAAAGTGAGGTAGATCTCTATCAACTTTTTACATGAATGTCTTATGGGTAAAATACATGTGTCCCAAACAAGAAAATCTTGCCTTTTTTTAAAAAAAGAAAAAAAGAAAAAGAAATCCAAAGTATCCTTAGAGCATCCTAAAACCTAAATACACATTGCATGCATGATTAGATTTTGGTCCCTTCTCATATAGTTCTCAGTTTACATGTATTTCTTGTTTCATTTCATCATATTACTTTAGCTATAGTGTTAAGTAACTTTTATGTTTTTGGAAGACTTGGTTGCATATTAAAAACTAACAGAAAAGAAATGAAAATGAAATTCTTTATTAGGAAAGAGTTATGAATATTTTGCGGGTTCATATTTTAAGATAAAAAATGATGAGGTTGTAAGTGCACATGATATCATGTTTTTTAAATCTTTATACTGAGATTTGTAAAATTATGAATTGAATGTAATTTTTTTTTACAAAAAATTGATAGAATGTAAATAGATTATGGAAATGTTTAATTTTTAGTGGAGATTCTGCGCAAATTTTTTTTTTTAAAAAGACAAAGAGTTAAACAAAGAAAAAGTTCAAATTTTTTTATAAATGACAGACTTTAATAAAAAAAAGAGAGGAAAAAACAAAAAGTACGAGTTCTAAGTTAAATATTTCTTTGAGAAGAAATTTTAAAACAGAAAAAGAGGAAACAAAAACTAGGTTTGATGTTTTCAAAATTTTAAATTTTGTTCTTAATAATAATAATTTAAAAATAAATTAAACAAAACAAAAAATAGATAAAAGGGGAAAATATTGAGATTTGAAAAGGGAAACAACTAAACATTCATATGTAAATTCAAGGCAATGCATCAATTTAAGTCAAAGTTGTAAGGATCAAGTCATAAATTTGTCTAAGGGAACATTTATTATAATTTATTATAAATAAATGTGTTTTTAATGAAAAAGAGAATAAAAAATTTAGTGAATATGCAACCAAGGTCTTTTTTATTATCAATTGTTATTAATTTTCTTTGTCATTTTGTATGCCTTTTTGTTATATCCTTTGCATGTATATGAGAATACAAGATAAATCTTTAAGCAGAAAAAAACTATTTTTGTATAGAGTCCCTACTTGACCAGCTCTAGAGCAAAACTCATGGAGAGTAGTGATAACATGAGATTGAAGGAATCAACAGGTCAACTTATTCAAATATTGAATAATAATGACCACATGATGAGCTTAATTGAAAATACTTCCCAATTGAGTTTAGGCAAGCTTAATGCCTTTGTGATGAATCTTCTACCAACAATACCAACGAGTCCTGAAATTGCAGATTGTCACAACACGATTGATACAAAGCAATAACTCTACAAAATAAAATTTTATGTTAAAAAAGAATGGGAGTCATTATTAACTTATTTATGATGAAGTTATACACCAAATCATCTAGTGGTCCTTATTTAAAAGAATTTAAGTTGAAAAATAATATCTGATGGAAAGTGTTGAGGCACTTATTAACAGTATAGATATTTTTAATTTAGGCTAATAAATTCTCACAATAAAGTTAGAACAAACTACCAGAAAATAATAAAAAGCATGAATTTTTTTTTTTTAGATTCTTATCAAATGACTAAATTTAAAGATTGAATATAATTCTCCTTATCATCTCCTAACATGATTTTAGGGCATGAACATCCCAACGATAATAAATTCACATTGAGGACATATGTCTCATAACTGATTTTAATTACTAATTCAAGATATGATATGATCATGTATTAATTATCTTCACAATAATTGTTTTAGAAGAAACAAATATCTTAAGAACCACTCTATTGAAACAAATGTTTAGTTTCAGATCTTTAAGTGAATGTGAGCTATTAAATCATTTTAATGCTTAAAATGAGAATAGAATCGAAAGAGTTTAAACCATTGATTCTTCTTTCTGTACCAATAATTTTCATAGAATTTGACTTTCTTTTGACTGAAGAAAAGACTAATTGAAATCTTCCTCATTTAAACTAATAATATCCTTTTTCATTATATCATGCATACAAATCCATTCAATATTCAAATTGACATAAGTACTTAGTTGATAATTAATGCATGCTTAAAAAAATGAGGTAAGCATGACAGGTTTATTCAAAACCATTATTTCAATCAAAATAGATTTTCTTTTATATTCTTAAGAATTTAATATGCAAAATTTCTCCATATTCAACTTTCATTGGTCATGAATCAAGTATAAGAATTTAGGATTCCCAATAAGATACCTAACCCCAAAATCATGAAATGGGGAATTGACAAGATACATCATGCCTTAAAATATACTTCAGTAACACATCAATGTTACTGTGTAAAATCTCAATTTCAAACACAATTTTTCAGTACAATTAAAAAACATTAAAAAAAGGGGATAAAAGTTTGTGCGTAACATTCACAAGTCAAGCCTTATTTTGAACATCATAATGATGGTTTATGGAAACCTTTTGTAACCATATTGTTAAAGAACATAAGACAAATGTGAATTTGACACTTTGATAGACAAATTATAATATTGGTGGAACAAAAATGATAGGTGAGTGTGAAACATTGATAGACAAATTATAGTATTGTGTGGAATCAAAGTGATAGGTGAGCTTGGCAACTTTATAAATAAGTTGTAATATTCGATAGAACATAAGTGTTAAATGAGATTCGCACCTTGATAGATAAGCTACAGTATTCAAGGGAACATGAATTATTAGTGAACTAGAGATCATGACTAATTAGCCTTTTACAATACTTTGGAGAAAGATTAAACATAAGTAGTTGGCTTGAGAAAGAAGACGTAGGAACAATGTTATAGCTAAACTTCTATAAAAGAGTTTGCTCTCTCTTTCCTATAAATTATTGTTTATCATTTCAAGATATCACATTACTACTGAAATCACATATATACATATTGAATTGATCATATGCATTATATTGGGTTTTCTAGGAGAAGAAAACTTAAATTTTATTGATTTTACTAACTCAAAAATTGACAACTTAATGTGTCTTTAAATAACCTTACATATAAATCAAAATTCCTAAAAAGAAGCTACCTCTATCTTGAACGATCAAAATGGAGTAAAACTCCTAAAAGATAAACTAACGTGAAACCATCACGAAGGATATGCCGATAAAAGAAGAGAACGCGCAGGACTCTGAAGTCATCGACAGATTAGGCCTAATTACCCGAAGTCGGGCCTGTAAGCTTCAAGGAATTTTCAACTTGTTTGTCCAAGATTGGGTAAGCAACGTGATCAATGACGAAGCACAAAGGGAGGTTCAAAGCCTGGCGCGAAGATGGAAGACACATATGGCATGAGTAAATTACTTATGGCACATGAGTGACAAGCATGGCGATCCGCCCGTACAGGTGAATAGCTCACACGCGTGAAACACCAAGCGAGCATGTGGCCAAGAACACCCACACGTCCCACTGCCACAAACGTGCAAGACTTGAGCGGTATGCGCACGATCACTGGGCATGTGTGCACCTGGGATCGCTCGCCCGCACGCAACTCGCAACTCGAGATCCCACTCGACCGCCCATGCAAACAAGTTTGCAGGTCAGGTCACAGACAGCCCAAGGGACCAAGCCTGCTAGCTCGCGATTTCAGCGAGCTTTCTCCAGCGCAACTCGCACGGACTAGCCGACCTAACCCATTCGAGTAGCCTAACTGGCCAACCCTCTCTTTCTTTATTTTAAAATATTATTTAATATTTATTTTTATTTTAAAACCCTTTTAAAAAGGTTTGGGGACCCATTTTTTAAAACCCATGTGATAAAATTAATTTTTGCATGTTTTTTTTAATGAATTTCACATGGGATAAAAATGAATTTTAAATTAAATATTATTTTAATATAAGTATATCCCTTAAGATTATTTAATTAATTTATTTAGGATAGAATAA